GGTATCTCGTCTAGCTAGCGTGCTGTGAAGCCTCTTCTTACACAATGGGACAACAAAAATTTCATAGAACAAAAAATCCAGCAATATCAAGGATTATAAAGCCAGTTTTACCCATCTAAGATTGTCAAAAACAATGATTGTATAATATTTTACAATGTTAATAGTATATTATGTATCAAGTTTTATAAACGCCATTTTAGTTAAGAGTTTAATTAAGCACGAGCGAAGCTTGCGAGCGAGTGTTTAATAAAAACGAGTGTCTAGAGAAGTTTATAAACGAGTTGCATACTATACTTTATCTACGACGAACACAAAACAGAATTTAAAGCCAATTTTATTTGTTAAAATTTTGACATCTGTCAACTGTCACCCGAATGTAACCTCACTTTTTCCCAATTTATAATAAAGCTAACTTCAGCCCGTGACGTAAAATGTCGAAAAGCCACTGTTGTTAACTTCAGCCCGTCAATAAAAAGTGATAGCTCGTCAATGTAGGAGTAGATAAAAATATATTTCATATTATCAAAGCACATTACAGAATATCAACATAATTAAAAATATTAACCCCCACATTGACAGGCTGTTACTTTAGGGCGTTTTAGTCACGGGCAAGTTTGCAATAGTTGCTTTTGGGCATTTGTGTTCGTCGTAGATAAAGCTTTATCTAGTACTATACAATAAATTTAGCAACATTGCAACTAGTTTTATAATGATAGATAATGCATTAATAATAATTATTATCTGCATCATATAGTTATTATACAAATTTTCCAAAATGACAAAATTTTAAAGTTTTTGAAATTTTCGAAAATCTTCAAAATTATTCAATTTTTTATAATATTTAGTTTCCAAAATTTTCAAATTATCTATAATTTTGAAACTTATAATTTATTTAAATTTTAAAATTTTTTTATGATCAAGTTATATTTTAACAATTAATTAACAACTAAAATTGTCTATAAATTCTTATTTGTATTCGTCGTAGATAAAGTACCTATAGTATGTAACTCGTTTTATAAACTTCTTTAGACACTCGTTTTTATTAAACACTCGCTCGCAAGCTTGGCGTTTATAAAACTTGAAATCCTTATTCTCGTGAATAATTCTGGGATTGGAAATATGGCAACATCGTAACTAGTTTTATAATAGGAGATAATGCAAATAATTATTATCTGCATTATCTCTCGTTATAAAACTAGAACTTGGGAATAGTCAAAATACTAAATAAACAATGTTTTCAATTTTTTTAAAATTTCCAAATTTTTAAAATTATTTGTATTTTTGAAAATCTCATTTAATTTTTCAAGACTACCTTAAGGTATATTTTAAGTGTCATGTATATAAATTATTAAATAAATAAATTCTTGTTTGTAGTAGATAAATGCAACCCGTTTTATAAAATTCTATAGACACAGGTTTTTATTAAACACAGCTTCGCTTTTGCCTGATAAAACTCGTAACTAAAATGGCGTTTATAAAACTTAAAACCTCAATCTCGTGAATAATTCTGGAACTTGAAAATTTGGCAACATAGCAACTGGTTTTATAATATAATATATAAGAGTTAATGCAAATATGTAATTATTAGAATTTGGGAATTTTCAAAAATGTCAAAATTTTCCAAATTCTTTAAATTTTCCAATTTTTTTTTAAATATTCAGTTTCTCAAATTTACTAAAAGTTTAAAAATCTTAAATTTTTTTCAAATTTTCAACATTTTCAAATTATCATTTATTTTGATAAATTCAAAATTTTTATAATTATAGTTATTATAACTATATAATTATAGTTATTATAACTATATAGTATATATTATATATGTATAGTAATAGTTATATTTTATTTGTCGTGTTTTGAAATTTTAACAATTAATTAAAAACTAAAATTTGCTATAAATTCTTATTTGTGTTCGTCGTAGATAAAGTACCTATAGTATGAAACTTATAAACTTCTCTAGATACCCGTTTTTATTAAATACTCGCTCGCAAGCTTCGCTTATGCCTGATAAAATTCTAACTAAAAATGGCATTTATAAAACTTGAAACCTCATTCTTGTAAATTTGGCAACATAGCAACTAGTTTTATAATGGGATATAATGCAAATAATTATTATCTTTTTTTGTATCTCTCGTTATAAAACTAGTTGCAATGCTGCCAATTTTCAAAAAATTCCCAGAATTTGGGAATTTTCAAAATATGTAGGATAAAATGTTCAACTATTCAAAAATGTCAAAAAATTTCAGTTTTTAAGTTTTTAAATTTTTCCAAATTCTTTGAATTTTTTTTTAAATAATTAGTTTTCCAAATTTTCCAAAAGTTTTAAAACTTTCAACTTTTTTTTCAAATTTCCTAAATTTTCAAATTATTTATAATTTTAAAAATTAATTTTTCCTTTAAATTTTTAAAACTTTCAAATTTATAAAACTTGAAACCTCCTTCTCGTGAATAATTCTTGAAATTGGAAATTTCGCAACATCGCAGCTAGTTTTATCATTAATAATGCAAATAATTATTATCTGCATTATCTCTCATTATAAAACTAAAAAATTCCCAGAATTTAATTTTTTAAATTTTTGAAATTTTTCAAAATCTTTAAAATTTAAAATTTTTTTAAAATATTCATTTTCTCAAATTTTCCAGAGTTATTTTCAATTTTAATTAAATTTTCGAATTATCTATAATTTTAAAAATTTTCAAATTTTTCAAGACTAAAGTACACACATCAAAACGGTATAGACAAGAAATAAACGTCGTTTAATTTTAAAAATAAATAACTCTTTGTTGAGTGAAAATTTGTATATTATTTATTGGGCATATCTTATGAAATGTGTTATATTGGCTTGTATTTGTTTAAAAAAAAATTCTTCAAGGTGTATTTGTTCAATTTAAAAATATATTCCGTTACAGTTGTCCCCTACACCATTTTGATGAGTGCATTTTTTAAGAGTTAAGTTTATATGTACTGTTTTGAAATTTTTATATTTTAATGATTTTGAACAAATTTTTAGCTTTATTGCTTGCTTTTTCACACTGTGAAATGTTTTTACAATGTGTAAGCGACATTTTTATTCACTTTTAGAATAAAATGCCGAATGCTGGTCTAGGAAAATAGTAAAAAACGAATTAAAATCCTTCCAACCAGTGTCACTTTAAGAAATTGAGCACTGCACTTAGGTTTATACATTGCCATTCTTGCCAAAAACAGTTTGGAGATTTTAGTTGTTCTTAAGATCCCGTATTCATTAATTATGTTTTATTTATTTATTAGATCATTCCTACACTTTCTATGATCTAAATTGAAATAATATTTTCGGGAAAAAACTATATTAAAACATAAAATATTTGATTCAATCTTGTTCCATGCCGTTGAATAAAATTGATGACCTTTTTAAGGGCCCTAGAACGACTCCTCACCACTCAAAAATCGATACTATTCATTATTATCCCGTGCTCCAGCAGAAAGGAGAGAGGTTCTTATATTGAGACGTGTAAACTGACCGTTATTGACTCTTGCTCGAAATTGCCTTTATAGCTGAGTTTCCGGTCGTTTAGTCCTTCTAACGAATCCCATACAATGTCCGTAATAATACTAGAATGTCGAGAGCATGCCTCAAATTGCTTGTATGTATTTCTCCAGTCTTTCTTAAGAAGGTTATTTTGTGTAATGTTATGTTTTTAAGAATGCGAATCCTCTACAGGGTGATATGTAATTAATGTTATATATTAAAATGGGTTGTTCCTTAGGGTCCATAAAGAAGCACCTGAAACTTTTTTTTTCTAAATTCCAAAGTCTAAAAATAATTTATAATAACCTTTATCCAACCAAAAAGTACGCCACTGATCGACTAGGAACTTTAGGTTAATCTGGTGGATTTATTATGTTATGGTTGACAAAAATTGTTTAAATTTAGCTTAATTACAAAAATGACAAAATTAACAATGCAAATGGTCAATTTGGCGTTATGTTTTCAAATTGTAAATATCTTAACTAAGGGAAGTGCTTTTGGATTTATTTACACAAATTAAATGTTTAAAGTTTAACCTGTGAACTGGTCCCAATTTCATCTGAGTAAACAGAGAAAAAAACTGATGAAAAAATTAATTTTGTGGTTATGGATTTCAAATTTAAAAGGTACTAAATTTTCTAATCATTGCTAATAGCTGGATCAGTAAATAAATACAGAAGGGTATTAGAGCTTTAAGGGCATAAAACTTTTGTATTTATTGAGTTTTTATTTATTTTTAGCAAGAAAAATTTTTAGTAACAATTTTTTACATCTGGCAACGCATAGCTACTTTGTTGGTTGGTATCTATGTACTCACAAAATACAAGTGTGCAGAGATAAACTAAGTGTGTAACCAGTGGCGTATCACAAAAAATATAAAAAACTTGCATATTTTTTCTTTATCTTTAGAAAAATGTTTTTTTTTAAATATTTTTCCTTTATTCCTTATGTCAAAAGGTATTCAGTATTTTAATATATGTATAACATTAATTACATAACACCCTGTATAATGAATTCTAGGTTAGCATGGAAAGAAAGGTGTATATGCAAAAACCGTTTAATCCAACGTAAAGATTTGTTGCGTTGAAAATGTATCCAGGTTAATATATACATGTATGCAAAAGGATATTTATAGGTAAAACAATGGGAATTTGAATGGAAAGAATTGGGGAAATGTGGCCTAAATTTTAAGAACATTAGAATGCCGGATAGACCGAATGCTATCGATTCAGCTACACAATATAACCGATTATTTTTAGATTTCGAATATAATTTTCTTTGGTCATGCAATACGATGATCAAATGCAAGATTTATGTCCATGAATAAATGGATTTTATGTGGTAATAATAAAATTTTAGCTATAAATTTCCATTATTGGTATAGCTTAGCTTTCTCTAGTAGTTCATTTATAGATAGCATTTATTATACATGTATTTAATATTTGATGACATTTTTTGTCGTAAAAGAATTTTCAAGGGGAATTGATGACTTACCATGCATTATTTATTGTTGCTGGAGATCTGAAAATAAAAAAATATTTTAGAAATAAATTATTTTACAAATTGTGTTGAAAATAAGGATAATATAAAATTGCAATACACATTTAAACAAAATTGGAACAAATTTATTACTATAACTTACAACAACTAGAACAGCAATTGGTAGTTGCTACCCATATTTTTATATGTGCATTTTAGTCATGTACTTGTTGCGTTTGTCACTATAATCTGGGTCCAGAATAGTATATTAAAGAACTAATGTCATAAGACGTCATTTTGTCGCACGCGGACAATTTATAAAACGAGCGACGAAGGAGCGAGTTTTATAATGGACAAGTGCGACAAAAGGTCTTGTGACATGAGTTCTTTATGCTATTTTATCTATTTTGCAAACATTTCATAAAACAAATTAATTTTATACCTTATATTTAATTTGGTGGAATTTTACTTTACATAGTTGGTATCACAGTTTGAAGTTTGAAAGGTCATTAACCTTTCAAACATTATCACATTCTTTCGCTATGGCGTCGTTAATTTACAATAAGTATTTACAATAAGCGGCTGTTAAAGAAGAAAAAAGTATTTTCTTTGGTGTTAAACAAAATTTATTGCACGAAAAGTCTCGTAAGTACTAGAAAACAAATCATAAAAATATTATAACCTATAGGTATTCAAAATTGTATTTTACCAGTAGCCAACCTATAAAATCAAAATTTTGGGTGGAATAAAGTACCTCATTAAAGAACCAAAAGCGGTGTTATAATGAAGTCATTATAAAACCAAAATAGATAAAATGTTATAATTGTGTGTACATAAATATTATAATTTATGGTACAAGATGACAAAACTTTGTGGAGTTTTGTACAACAATAACCAAAAAAGTATTTCTCCAAATTGTCGTAAAAAAGAAGTGTTAAACACTGCTGTCAAAAATGACAATATTGTAGTAATTATTCAAGCAACAACCAAAAATCATAAGGTTAAGTACATTACTTATAAAATGGTGTTGCATTTTTTAATGCAACAAAATTAATTTGTTCATACAAATTGTAGCAAATCGTCGATATATTTTTGGGGGGTTGGATAATGGGATAAAAAAACCACTGTGAAATAATACTAGTTTTATTATTGACTGCTCAAAATGGTGGACTTCGACTTCAATGCATTTATTAATTCGCATTTCGTTTTAATATTCTGCTAACACTGCTCTGGGATATTCCCAAATCTCTAGATAATTCTCGTGTGCTTGCACGAGGATTAGCGGCCGTTGCTGCTAATACATTAACTTCATTATTTCCACCTGTGACTGTTTTGCGACAAAATCTTTGTTTCGGTTGAACACTCCCGTTTGTAATAAACTGCTTGACTGTACGGTGAAATGAAGTACGTGATCGAATTTTATCCGGAAAACGCTGAGCGTATATATCAAGATATATCAAGATTCCTGCCTGCTTCTCCATAAATCAAAATTATTTATATTTTTTCTTCCACTGTTAAAAAACACTGTTAACGAAAGGAGGTCTTTTTGTTTGCAAATTAATCTTCGAACTAAATTGATTAAATAATGCTAAACTATAAATAGTTTCTTTATACCTCAATAATAATTATTATTTATAACTATGGTATTTATAAATACCATTTTTCTATACCTCAATTAGGATTAAATTAATTAATTCACAAAATAATGTTTTTTTACCTTAAATGAGGTATTTTTATTAAAAATAGTAAAATAATCCGTTAAATTAAAGGATTTAATGCTGGCAGGTAAAAAGTGACCATGGTGTGCAATTGATTATTATCACCGAATGAAATCATTTGTAAAACTTAAACCAAAGGAAACTTAAATATTTGTTAAAAATCGTGGGTACTTAAAAAAAATCAGATTTAATTTAATAAGATAATTATTACCAAAAAAAGTGGTATTTTGATAGAAAAATTATTGCAGAATCGTATACAGAAGAAAAATCGAACAAAATTATTTTTTTTATTACAGCGCCATCTATTACAAATATGAAAAAAAGTTTTAAAAAAAATCTACCTATTTTTAGTCGAATGATCCGAATCTGCAATAAAAAATAGGGTGTTCCATTGGAAATTTTAAAGTTACCCCCTGTTCCCCCTATAAGGAGGAGAGTATGAGGGCCAATTTTAGTACTGATTGATTTTCCCCCTCAAATCATTTAATTTTTATTTTAATCATTTTTTCGTAAAATGCATACGAACTGAGATATTTCAAAGTTTCAAGTTAAATGACTCACCCTGTATACATGCCTTACAGCTTTAAAATAAAGTACAAATATATCTGGTGTTCCATTTAAAAAATATATAATTTTCAAATACTATCGTGTACTTGAAGCTGCTTTGATTACCTAAAAGATTAATTATATGGGGTTGTACCAAAAAACCCGTAATTTTTTTCTAATAAAGGGATTTTTTATTTTTTTGTCCATACATTATTGAGTGGAATGAACCCTTTTCTAGTTTTTCTATATTATAAATTGTTTTTATGAAAAGTAAAAATATTACTAATATTGCAGTGTTGTTTTTAGATATTTAAAGCAAAAATGCATTTATACGAGGTGTTTTCAGAAAATATCGGGAATTTTAGTTTTTTGAAAAAAATATTTATTTATTCGTCTACAATGTAGACTCTACATTAATGTTGTCGCCTTCAAAATAGTCCCCATTGGATATTATGCACACTTCCAATACTCGAAACACTTCTAAAACTTGATCTTTGGAATAGCCTTTAGTTCTTTCAGCGACGGCCCTTTAAGGTTCCCTTTATTTTTGGGAATAGGAAAAAGTCAGACAGAGGCATGTCTGGCGAATATGGAGGCTGGGGCATCATTACAGTATTGTTTTTGGACAAAAATTTTGTTTAAAATTTAACAATTTTGGAACAAATTTTTTTGCCACGCGTTTAATACCCAAAACATTCGAAAAAATTTCATGAGATGAGCCAATCGATATACCAACATCATCAGCGACTTCCACTTTTTCCATGTTTTTATCGGTTGTTAATGTGCTTGGGCGTTCGTCATCTTCAACGTCTTCACGGCCATCTTGGAAACTCTTATACCACTTGTAAACTCTTGTTTTACTTATAGCAGACTCACTATATAGGGCTTTGTTAACATTTCACAGAATTTATTTCATTTTTTAAGAAAAATTGGATACAAATTTCTTTGATCCAATTCTTTTAACGAACGAAAATCGCCGAGCTCATAAAACACGTCTAACCTTAGCGGCTGCCACAGACAAAGTAAATGATGAAAACATCTAAAGTTTATCATACTTCGGGGGCATGAATACCAACATAATAAAGAAAATTTTATGAGAACCGGACCCACCGAACCCGCGAAATTTAACAATTCCCGTTATTTTCTGAACACACCTCGTACAAGGTATACACATTTAATTTTTGTTTTCAAGTACAACTAAGACTATAGTCCTATAGGAAGCTAAGAATATGAAATTAACTTACTTTTATAAGTAAGATAAGATAAGATTTTCAAAACCCAATTTTTTCAATAAATCTGCCACAAACCATTGCTTTTTTCTCACACAACACAAATTATTTTCAATTTTAGCTTGTTTACAACAAGGGTAAATAGTTCTGACCGCTACCTACACTCAACCATAGATAAATATTTAGGCACTCAACTAAGACTCAACTGCAATTATACTTTTATACAGTAAACCGGCCAGAGAAACGTTGTTTTGGTGTGCCAAGACAAAACACATTAATAACCTTGAATCAACCAATCAGAGAAGGTTTTTTTACTAAACAACTTGATTTAAAAGTTCCATAGTTGCACACATTTTTTACACAACTTGCAAATAAGTTTACCACAAAGATAACTCTCTTACAGCAAAATTTTGTACTATATTTAATTTAGACCATGGCAAGTGAAGCGACAGATTTTTCCCAACAATATTGTAGGACTTAATTTCAAACTATTTCTTTAGCAAAATCTCGAAAATAAACTTTTCTCCAGGACAACCTTAAGAGTTGTTTCCATTTGGAGAAATATTTAGAACTTTCCCTTTGAAACCTCAACATTCATACTCGCACACACATGATATGCTAGCCTGTTGTTCTTGTGCATCAACCCTTTTCTGCTATTGCAATTACCATGGAGGAGAGAGCGACAGGAATTCGAGTGCAGATTGCTGCTCACTACAGTGAAATTAACAGACGAAGCGGGAGGCACATTTATGTCTAATGTCTTCCAGATTAATGCGAATGCTCAGACGAATTACGAGATACGCTGGGCGCCCGGGTTCGACTCACACGCTTCCCCGAATTCGTCCCCCGTTATTTAGCAATTATGGCGGTAATTAACGCAACTAAAAATATTCGCTGGTTCAAAGTAAATACCTGAGACTTTGAGGAAAGGGGTGGACCCACTTCAGGTCTTTGTTGGAATTGTACTCTCTTAAAATAAAAAAGTCTATATACTATTTGAATTAGTACCAGCATTTTTTACTAAAAATAAAATAGTCGTTTTCACAATAGTTAAAGTTTGACTAATTTAAGATTAGTCAACATCTTTGACTATTTCTGAAGATGCAAAAAGTTTAGCTCAAAACAGCAACATAAATAATATATTCAACTTTAAAATATTATGAACAATAAAATTGACAAATAAAATTGATTTTTATAAGAGTGGCTGATAGCCACATTGGTTATGACAACAGCTTTACAAGCTTGACAAGCGACAGACCTGAGTTCAATCCCCGGCAGGGTCAAAAGTTTTTTAAATTTAAATCTACTAATTTGAGTTTTTCATTCGGTAGAATTTGACTAATTATAAGTGACTGCTTTTTCGCTATGACAATTAGTCAAATATGGCTTATAATTGGTTATTTTTGACTAACTCATTTTAAGAGAGTAGGAAGCTACAGATGTTAACAATATGTTTTAGTAGGTATGTGACGATACGGTTTTTTAAGGTTATGTCGAAAACCAATCTTGAGAGGTACTTGTACAAATTCGGTTTTAGCGGCTTAAAAAA